GAGGGGGTGTATTATTTGGATTAAATCAAGAAATTAATTGAATTGTTTTTTTTTTATTTGGTTCATTTTTCATTTTTTGTTGGTTTGTATGAAAGATACTTTTAAATAATAATAGTAATTTTTTGATTTTGGTATGTAAGAATTAAGAATTGAAAATGATATTTGTAACAAATTTCTGTTTTGATTATGATATAACGCGTGCAAGCGTATTAGTTTAAACTTTGAAGCTATGTAGGTTTATTAAGAGATTATCAATGTTTGCCTATCTCATCAAATATGTAATTCTATTTTATCAGTGACATTCATAATTTCAATCATATAGATTGAATTTTAAATTTATAAAATAAAAAAATTTGAATGTAAAAAGTGAGGTATAAAAAGGATTTAAACAGACATTGTTATCCCTGATTACTATATCACCCAAGGTGAGGGATAACTTATCCCGATACTAATTATTAATTCCGGAATAAGTTATCCAAGACTTGCCAACCAAACAACAAATTAACTGATACTATAATTTAATTTCAGAACTATTTGGTATTATTCTTCACACCAAACGACCCTTGAAGTATACCAAATTAAAGAGATACATTTTGTTCTTGATTGGCGTGGTTCTTTGCTTTTTGGGAGGTCCAACACAAAGCACTAGCATTGTGTATGAGGATAATAGAATCAAATAGAATGCTTAAAAACTACTGGCTAAGACAACACCACGTGGTCCATTCAACAAGAAGATTATTGATTCAATGTATGAAGGATTCAAAAAATCTCTACCTATCGGTACTAAATCACAATTCTTGAATTTGAGCTTTGAATATAGAGAAAATCTTATTAAGAATCTTAATTTTAAATGAGCCCTATAATGCATGATTCATATTTAGTTCGGCTCCAATGCAGACTTCAAATATTGAGTGGAAAACCAAAAAGAAATAAATTATAAAAAATCAACTAAAGCAATTAAAATTTAATAAAAATTAGACGCGTTGAATTATAACATGCATTTAACCCATTTAAACTGAGTAAATTTCAAGACAAGTCAATAACCTGTTCATTTATTAACTCAATCCAGTTTGATCTTTTCAATTTCAACCTAACTCGCCACACCCGGAGATACTAATGTGTTAACATCTCAAAGTTGAGAAGTTGTTTGTATCATTGAATGTATGCACGTATTGTACCAGAAAAACAAATCTACTTTTGTTATTCCAAACAAATTTGCCGGCATTTGTGTGCATGCATCATGTCCATTTTTTTAATTTTATTTTTTTTGGGTGGAGAAAAGAAGAGGTCCCCAAAGAATGTGTTAGCATTGCATCAAATAAAAAGTAAAAAGTAATTCAACTTTGTAGGTAACACACACTCATGGTCAAGGGGCCAAATACCTTTTGACCTTTAACATATTGAAATATATATGAAGCGTCATTGCAAAGTTAGTATTATGGGACCAAACCAACTTTCTAAGTCATGATAAGATCATTTCTATGGAATTTATGCCTTTTTATCCATCAAAAAAGAAAAAGAAATATAGATAGAGATATTAGCGCAGTGGCGGAATCATCTTTATTCAAAGGGTGTCAATTGACACCTAACACTTTGGCCGAAAATTATATTGTTAAATTAGGTTAAAATATACAATAATATATATATATATATATATATATATATTTGCTTTTTATATTTAGCTTATTCATAAATTTGCTTTTGATATTTTGATTCTCAAAATTCTAGCTACACCACATATTTATATTTACTCCATTTGTTTCAATTTATGTGACACAGTTCGAATTTCAAGAGTCAGACAATTTAAGTTTGATCGTGACTTTGAGAATGGAGTCTTCGATCAATGTTTTGAAACAAAATTTATGTATTTGGAAATTAAGTAAAAAATACTACAAGTCACAATAATTAGGTTCAAAACAGACTTGTTTGAATATCAGAATTTGAAAAGTGTTATATAAATTACGATAAATTGAGACGGAGGGAGTATTTTTATTTAGATACAAGGGAGAGAATTACTTTCCAAGCTGTAACGGTCAGTGCGATACTGCGATTGTATGGGCTTAATTGGCATTGGTCAATTTTGAGTCTCATGAAATTAGATACATGGGCCAACTTATAATATCCTGGCTTCCTCTTCACAAATTAGATCTAAATTTAATAATCAACTCAATGTATGGTTCAAGAAAGTGAAGAGAAAACTTTAAGTGGAATAATAATTGCCTTTTCCTTACTAAACTTGTTAACTTTTCCATCAAATGGATTCAAAAATGTAAAAGAAAATGTCATTAACCTCTCATAATCAGCTCTATTAGTAAAAAATAATTAAAGCTTTATGTTCATACGCCCCTTGTCGTCTGTCCTCTCACTACTTCGAAGAGCACAAGTAATGAAAAATAACCGCACGATTTGTCCTTCGGATGAATTGATATTTACTTGTTGTCTTTAAATGGATTAGTCTTCAATATTTGCCCAAAGAAATCAAACTTATGCCTAGCGGAACATAAGTTTTTTAAGGGCGTGAGATATAACTTGTGCGATATTATAAGTCAAAAATATAAACTTTAGCGAAAAAGTTATTTTAATTTCCCAAAGACAAACCAGCACAAAATAGGGACAAAAGTGCAAATGACCAAAAAATAGCTGGGTAGGCCTGGCGTACATAGTTTGGGTATAAAGTAACGAGTTCAGTTGAAGCGCTGAATGTGTACTTATAATATTGTTCATAGACAATGTTGGTTTACCAGCAGTATCCAAGGAAATTGGACGCCAAAGATGTGTTGCCATTTCTATGTCAGTTTTGTTAACCAACCACAACGGGGCAGCCATAATGTTATTTTTCTTAAATGGAAAGACATATATAGATGAGAATTTTCTCAAAGTTCAATGGCATATTTGAGTCTTCTTCCTTTGAATAACTAACAACAATATAACGTAATGGGGAAGGGAAGACTACAGCAACACATATACAACATTTGCACTGAAAGAAGGAGACGACAAAAATGTGAAATGCTTTATAGCCGAGGCTATTCCAGCCAGCAAAATGGAATCGGCAAAAGTGGGATCTAAGGGAAAATGGGAAGGTGTAAACCTGGAAGACAACTTAAACATTGTCCAGAGGAGGCGGATTGAAGCTGCAATTCAATCAAGCACCACCTGCAAATCAGACGGTATAAGACAACAAACATGGATGAAAGAAGAATTGGAAAATGTTTGGAAAACAAACCTTGGCGGAAAATGTTTGGAAAACAAACCTTGGCGCAAATGGTGGTTCAACCACGACGGGAGTGTTGCAGTTGGGCGAAATCGAGAAGATGATGAAAATGGCAATTAGGAAACCAAAGCTAATGGAAAGTGATGAGTTGGGAGAAATACAAGGAAAATGTCCGTAATAGGCCCTTTTGTTTACTACTTTCTTTATTAATTCTTTGTCTGTTTGGACTTGGGCATTAGGCCCAATGATGTAACTCTTTTTTTATATCAATGAAACTGAAAAGTTAACCCAAAAAAAAAAAAAAAAAAAAAAAAAAAAAACAATATAACGTAAGTGAGTAAAGCTTACCTACACGGCTACACTCTATCCTTTACCCCCACACCTATGAGATTTTACTAGATTTGTTGGTGTTGAGACAAAGTGAAGAACATTGATACAACTATGAAGTACTTGGGCTCTCACAACTTGAAAGAGCCCAAGTAATGAAAAATAACTTGGGATAAACAAATTGCTAATATAGAGTGAACCATATCTATGGGGTAATCAACAAGGCATTATTTGCCAAGAAATTCATAAAGCTCATAGTTTCAGAGTAGTAATCACATAAATTGAATCAGTACAATGCAGTAGTATGGGTACATCATTTACAGTTACCCATATTCTAACCGCTAGTTATTCATTCTTACAGTTTCCTATCTGTTAAGGTGCCTCATGCAACGATTTAAGCCACTAGTACCCGAACAAAATGGACCACTACAGCTGGTAAATGGAACAAGTTGGTGAATGCGTGGTTTTCAAAATCCACTTTTTCGTAAAGAGCATCATACATCACTTCTTTTGCTATATACCGAAATGTACATGAACGCAAGCACAAACCAAACCTATGAGACAAAGGCAAATTCAGAGCTAGAGGAAGATACACAGTTTTAAGTCTATCGAAAGTAATGAGTTCATTGAACTGCTGATATGTACTTATATAATATTGTTCATAGACAACGATAGCTAATTATCCAGCGAGCACTGTGGCCACCAAAGATGTCAGAAGCAATGGCAAACCAAAAGAACATTGGGATCAAACAGATCACAAACCACCAACAGTTACACAGGCTCCTGTCCCTTATTAACAGGGATCTCACCCAGAAAGTGCCAAAGTCTATTGTTGTACCTGCCAAAATGCTGATAACAAAGCTACAGAACAAAATATGATTAGGAACATTCTTCAAATGTGGGATAGAGAGCAGCAATTTAATGGCTATTCATATCCATATTCATCCTGAAGCAGTAACTAGCCAAGAGTTAATGCATAAACTCCAAATCAGGCTACAGATTGATACGTTTTGCCAGTTGCTCGAAGAGAACAGATTGATTTCGATTATGTCAATCCATTCAGTCCAATCCCCTTATTTCATGAAACAGAGAAGAAGCACTGAATGTTACAAGTTATCTATTCAGAATTTACAGCCTATTAACAAACTAAGACACACAAAGCTATTCATATTGCTCAATTTCTCTCGCATTCATAAGGTAAGCCGACAAGATAAGTAGAAGAAACAATGATCAATAGATGAACTAGCGTTAAACAAAGATTTCAAAACGGCACTACTCCTAGCTACAGAAAAAAATCAGTGACCTGGAGATGGAACATTGCTATGATAATCATGATTTTTTACTCCGAAATATTAATAATCAGAACATAGACAATTATATATATGGGCAAAATTGAACTATATACAAATTTTTTTCAACTACATAATCCATCTAAGGAACTATATAAATATTTTGATGTGTATTATATATCTTGTAGAGCGACTGAATTCTGAAACCAATCGTCAGGAATATCAACAGGAATGTCCTCAAACGTTCTATACATCTCTTCCTGAAATTCATTGCTTCTAATATCATCAACTCCGTGGCCTTCTTGTACTTCCAACGTTGTCTCTCTATTCTCCATTGTAGTAGCTTCATAAGTACTGGTTTGAACATCATATTCGGAAGTTGTAGCCTCAACTGCATCTTCTTCATCACAAACCCTAACTTGATCTTCCGTTGTGGAGTAGTCGTTATTATGATTAGGTTCAAGCAACATAGGATCGATGATTCCCGCAACATCTCCATCTTGTGCCTCCATAACATGATCCACGTTCTTCTCTTTATCCATCTTCTTCTTTATTCGACACACTACAAAATCTTCTTTAAGAATATGATTATTTTCCTTAAAGAAACTATCCGCGACATGATATTCTACCATCAACCAGGTTTTATTTTGGCCACACTCACTTGTTTCAAACTTGAAATTTCTCTTAAACCCTACCATAGACGCACGATTCCTCCTTATAAGATGTTCCCCAGTTTGCCCTTTCCACGTCCCTTTAGCACAAATTCGAGAAAACCTTTTATATTCAGTCTTTTGCTTCTTCAAAGGAGTAATAAAGTAACGAAACTTCTCTTCATAATTAGTTCCAAATATCTCCCATGGTGGTTGATCTCCATATATATCCGCAAACTGGATAGGACATTGTTGATTCAAACATAATTCGCCTTTGAAGAACCTCTTAAGATAGTTGATTAGCTCCGTATCAGTAGGATGAAAACGTATTTCCATTGGCTTCGACATTGATTCTTGATCTAGAATTAACCTATGTAAACTACTTATGTGAATTATGAAGCCTAAACAAAGATAGTTATCTATTTATACACATCTTATTACCATAATGGAAAAAAACTCTAATTACTTAACAAACTCAAGTTACTTTATTTCCTAAATTACTACTATAACCGTAATTGAACAAACTAAAGTTACTTAATTACTTCTCTCAAGTTACTTTATTTCCTTAATTACGCATTTTCAATTTCTAATTTTTATTGGACGCAAGTTTCTCTAACACGTGCCCCACTTTTTGAAGCGCTCTTTCTCCTATAATTAACTTGATTTAACAAATTAGTAATATTGAATTATAGAAGATTAAAAATATCTTTGAAGAGACTCTTTTTTTCCGTTAACTGCAGAGATTTTTTTGTGCCCCACGTTATATTGATGCTAACAGGAGCTGTTATTTTAGGTAAGTTGTTGAATTCAATTCCCCGTGAATTTTTGTCACATAATAAGACTAATTAATATTTATGAACTAGGATTTAATGATTTTTTTGTATTCTTTTATTATTTTTAGTACTCTATAAAATTATTATTTTTCTTTATTATGATTATATATATAGAATTAATAAATAAATAAATTTATGAATTGAGCTAATTAATAAATAAACAAATCAATAATCATTTCAAATTGGGACAAATTTGGACGGATTATAATTTGATGAGCGGATTTTGCTGTCCATAGTTAATCAAACCACTAGTGAGTAGTGATCATTCTTTTAAGAACACTTAGCTATACATTTACAATCTTACGAAGTTCACGTTGAAAACACTGATTTGTTTGAGTTATGCATGAATTTTATATTCATGCACGTAACTAGTATACCATTTTAATTTATTGGTCAACCTCTACATTAATTAATTAATCTCAAAATAATCATCTTAAATGAAGTTCATGTTTAATTTGAAAACTCTAATGTGCCCTCTTTTTCCCTTCATGAGGTACATAACTAGTAGTAATATTCTGACAAAATTAAGACCTTCTGATCAACACATAATCAATCAATCAATCACATCTTGGTGCAGTAGCATTAGTAGAAACAAAAGAGATGTCAACACATAATCCGTATCGTTTTTTCCCCTCCCAAGTACGAATAACAACAACCATAATAATATATAATAATAATAATACGGGAAATTTACATAAATCCAACTGGTTTAATTAGATATACTTTATTTTGTAATGTTATAGTAATTTTTACCATATTTTAGTGTGTCTAGATACATCAAGATACATCTATTTCGGGATACATGAGTCCAAAATTAAGTGTAATTTATTCTAGATACTGTGTATTCAAATAGATTCGCATGTATTTAGGATACATAACAAATTTTGCTCGCTGGATACATGAATCACACCAGATAAATACATAGACATATATCTAGTATGTATCTAGTGTGATTCGTTTGTATCTGGGATACATAACTATCTCCCTCTCCATCTCACTCGCCTTCTTCCCCGGTTCTCTTGCCTCCTTCCCTATTTTAGTGCATCTGGTAAAAAAACAAACAAAATAATTGGAATCGTTCCGAAGAGAATATGTATCTTTCTCAATATACGGTAGAAAAATCTTAATTAAAAGTTTATCTTAATAATAATTTATTTTTATTCAATATACTAAAAATAAAGGAAAAATTACGCGGAAAAGCAAACATATACTAGTTAATTAGCTAATATAACTATAATTTGAATTAATTACGGCTCGTAGCTTAATTTTAGTTTTAATTACGTCACTTGTCCTCTTTTATACATATACAAATACATATTATACACATATATATATACAATTATATTTATATACAAATACAATTAGCCTCTCTCCACTCTCTGACCTTTCTCGCTCACCTCTCTCCTCTCTCTCCCAATCTCGCTCGTCTCTCTCCCAATCTCTCTCGCCAGATATACAAATACATATATATATCAGTTTCGGAATGTGAACAGAAAGAGATTACTTGCAAAATTCATTCAGATTGTGATTATACTTGTACAATATCTACTCTATCTTCTGTCCCAAATATAATGATCAAAATGTAAAAATGAATATGAATTGTACCTAGGTTGAGGGTGTTATTAATAGTTTAACACTCATCGGATCGTTATAGGTGAAGAACGTTCCAACTTCATGTATACATTAGTACGTATGATATTGAGAGGAATCAATCATGATCCATGGTAATTCTATCATTAAATAGGACCAATCTGTTTTAATAAACAAAAAAGTAGTATTCAAAATTGATCAATACCTTAAGGAGTTTTTAGTACTTTGACGGCAAGCAGGCGCAACAATTGTTACCTACTTCGTAAGCATGTTTTTTATATTGGTAATTCATTCCAACTTGAAAACTGAAACTACCTTTGGCCTTGCATCAAAGATATCTGCTACGTAGCTTGAAGAAAGTAAGAGAGTTTTAGCATTTTGCTAATTTCTCTCATCTCTAATCATGATGGCATGCAGTACGTAACAATTGTAAAGCATTATCTTGACACATAATTTTCTGTGATATCTAAACAGCTGCGAGCAGACATGATTAGAAAGATAGTTAACGATTGCTGTTTATACATCACATCTACCGGAGTGTGCTAATACGTGATGTTTTGTGCAGTGGGTTGCCCCTTTACTATTTATACAAGGACCTCATAAACTTTCTGTTTTACTTTGGGAGGTGAGGTGAAAGTTAATACTTTTTTTTATTAAGATCTAGCTTTCAAGTTCAGGATGAATTGAACTTGAGTTGGTCAGCAGAAGACCTGAAAAACTATCACTCTAATTTTCTTTAACCTCTAGGCACCATCACAGTAACATCTGTAAATTAGCACAGAACAGTAGTACGTAAGAGATTGAAGATATATATACCTCAGACAAAAAAGACTCATGTAAGACGTACAAGAAGTTGACTAATCAGAGGAACAGACGAAGGTAAGTATGAGGAGCAAGAAAAAACAAAATACACAAAGCACAGCCATGTTAAGAGTTAGATACAGGACAGTTGGTGCCTTAAGAATCAACACGTCTCAGACAGAATGCTTATTGGAATGACCAAAACATACAGCCTAGTAGGACCAATCAAGTAACGACAAAGCAGCAACATGCTATATACTCTAGCAAGTTAAAATGAAGCAATACATGAAGGTGAAAACAAAATAGGACCTCAACAACAACTCTTATGACCAGCTATGTGTGGACAGTAGATGTTTGATGTATAAAAAGAAATACTAGAAAAGTTTGAGTTAAGAATGATGACGAAACAGCAAACCAAAGAAGGAAGCAAAAAGGGCAAAAGGAGTACTGCTCATTTTTGTTCCTTGGTAATTGTTAGTTGGAAGAGGGAAAAAACATGTGTGAGTTGTTACTGTGTTTAAACTACGTGAAAACCTAAAAGGAAACCAAATGATGGAACTATCCTTGGTCCAGTTTTTGTTGCATCTTCAATAATTTACCTGTTTCAGTTGGTGGACGGTCAAACTTTAGGAGATAGATACTTTAGGAAGTCTTCCGTGGAAGTAGACCCTTTAGATTCTTGAACTTTAAGAGCTCATTACCAAATAGAGTTGCCATGTGATGAAACGGAAGAAGAGCCTCTTTGGAGGACTATTTTTCACTTAATGATTGAGGAGAGACAGAGACAACACGGTAATGTGATGAAATTGGGAACAGAACAGAAGGGCTCAGCTTTAGGTTGGAAAATGCAGAGAAACGTCAAATATGAAAGTTTATAGTTGCGAAAGCAGAACATAGTACCTGAGAACTTTGTTCAACACGATTCTTGAAGGGATCACCAATTACACAGCTCAACATTATCAGCTCTAAGAATTATATATGTTGCTATTTACATGGCTTATAGTATTAGTTGAGTTGTTTCCTTTTTTCTACTCTTGTATGGGAGGTATCACATCGTGGATTGCTTTACCAAGTATAAGTAGATACTAATATCTATAATGGGAACTGCTTGAATTGTGCTCCAGAACAACAAATTTAAACAGATATCTAGATGCTTCAACAACATTATTTTGCCAAAGTTACAGAACTGAATTAAAAAGAAAGCCAAGCAAAGCTTCAACAACTTGACAGAGTAGTGCAACACTCAAATTTCTGACACAAAGATAAGAATATCTACTAATTAGGTATATTTTTCAAAATACTTCCACATGTTGAGTAAGCTGTGATTTAAAATAGCTAATCGCCATCAAACTAGCCGTTGAAGAACTGCTCTACCAACACTATGTCCATACTTTGTTAGCAAGGTAGTGAAAAGAGAATAAGCTGACTAAAAGGTAGAATATGCTGTAAATTATTAGTAGATGAACCCACAAAATCTCTAACCCCTTTGATTTGTTAGGAGCAAGCATTATAATCTAAGAAGTCTTAAATCTTTCCCACATAAAAAGGTTAGAGTTCGAGTGTCACCTTAGTAACATTAGGATGGTCAAGTTTATGCCACACTGAAACTTCTTGCATAAAAGCTGCTCGTAGTGATGCTATTTCAGCATCTGTTCTGTGGCTCTCTTCCCCCCAGTCCAGTAATTTCACTGAGTATCACAGAGGAATACAAAATGTGCATGTTAATAGGAACACTATTTCGCGGTAGTTATATTAACTCATTAAAAAAATGTTAAAAAGTTGAACAAGTAAATTTCATTAATCTCCTATAGCAGTAACTTTTCATGATTTTTTTTGAAATGTGAGTTCGTTTTCTGTATCTGCTTGTGGATTGTGATGTTATTCTCGATCCAAATACGAACGAAAATAACTTAATTATATAATTATTGACATCACTGCTTTTTCAATATTCGCTCGATTCAAATACAATTGAAAACAATTAATCGACAAAACCTCCAATTGTATTCATAATCAATCCATAATAATTATACAAATCAAATTGATACTTACTAGTTTATACAAATAAGGACGAAGATAATATATCTCTTCTTCTTCGCTCGTTCAATTCAAATACAATTGAAAACA